CCATCGGTTCAGCCTGTCCAAATCTCTTTGTCAATGAGCACAGTCCCACAGTACCCCAAAAAGAGGAACAGAGTAAATCTAGTGACATTAACTGGGGTAAGCCAACAGTCAGTACAGTCACTGCCAGGCAAGTCCATAGGAATAAAGCAAGTCTGATGGTAAGCCAGGACATCAAGTTAGCAAGGCAAGGTAGGGATCATCACGGTAAAAGGTGGGGTATAGGCATACCTCCAACAGAGTTAAGGCGAAGGCCTGAGCTTATATGCAGCTCCTGGACCGATGGACAGAGACCCTGGGCAAAGCTTCTTGCAGCTCTTTCTTCCAGATTCACTGTTTCCACAGCAGTCCAATTCAGTGTTACTCAACTGTGCCGTGTTAGAGCTGACTTTGAGTCTAAGCAACTAAACCCCTGGCAGGGTGTGTGCAAAGCCTGTTGGTGCACTAAGGACCCTGACACTCATTTCCTTATCTTTTACTCAGCCTGTTTGTATTTTATTGTATTTGCTGCGACCTTGCTGTGAAACCAGGTTGGAGTGGTTCTCTAGAGGCTGGAGTGGAGTCAGTTCTCTACTGTTTACTCAAGCAGCACCACCATTAACTTTAATGGGAGCAGTGCTTGAAGAAGGATGGAGATACTAATTACCTAAAAGGTGAAATGTGTGGCTGTGGCCAATAAATGCATTTCATTATTATGGTTACAAAATCATGGATCAGTCAGGCATAAAATGAGGTAGAATCCTGTAAGAGACTAATGCACTCTTTTTCCCAAGGCACTGCTTGTTCTATGAAGTCGCGTTTTGCTTTCAAGAATAGGTACGTTTGTAGAGATTGTGATTTTACAGAAAAATGTTAAAATGTCAACTAATTTAAAATTAATGACAACTCCTTCTTCTCCCTGGATTTTATCACTGAGCATGATGTGATATGGTTTGGAATTTCCCTTTGGTCAGTTGGGGCCAGCTGTCCTGGCTGTGTCCCCTCCCAGCTTTTCCTGCACCCCCAGCCTACTCACTGGCAGGGCAGCCTGAGAAGTAGAAAAGGCCTTGACTCAGCAATAACTAAAACATTCCTGTGTTATCAGCACTAGTTTGGTCACAAATCTGAAACACAGCACTGTGCCAGCTACTGTGAAGAAAACTATCTCTTTCCCAGCCAAAACCAGTATATCCATATATTTCAGATGTCCAATCATGATACTACTACAAGTGCTAACACTGGTAGCTGAGTTATCTCTTAAGGACAGAAAAATAATGTACTTATATCCACATGTCCATACCCTGGATAGTAGAATGCACAAGCGAATACTGTCACTTTTTCCTCCCAATCAAAATAAATAAAAAAAAAAGAGCTACCTTTAACCTAAAAGTAGCCTATTGGCAAGCTAATTATTATGACAGTGAAACCAGTATGGCTGAGCCCAGTTATTACCATGAATATATTTAAACTGCTCTGAGAGAAAGTTTGGCTAGTTAGGGGAATCTGACAGGGTTTATGCTGACCCTCTTCTGAATGCTTGCAAAATCTGCTCTTACTGAACTTAAATTGACTTCTATATGGGGCAAAACTTCATTTTTTAAAACTACCACTCTGCCTTTATTTCTTGTCATTTTTTCCCCTGAAAGATAACGTAGCTTGTGAGGATGAAATGGCTAACAGAAATAAAGCAATATACTTCTGACGTAAGCTGAGCTATTTTAGGAAAGTACAGACCAACAGGATGAGTGGTTTTGACTTAAAACCTATGCAGTTCTTTCTGTTTCAGTATTGAGGTATCAAGTATTTGCAGAACAAGGAGTTTTGCTTGTTTGGCTGGGTTTTTTGCATTGTATTTTACTTGTTTTTTAAATAATTTGTCTTCTTTAATTTTTTTTTTCTTCCTGTGAGATAAAATTCAGTAAGCTAACACAGATTTATCTTTTCAGCCAATGTTCTTTTGTCCCACCTCACAAAGTCAGAACACTGGAGAAATTGCCAGGATCCGTGAAGAATGCAAAAGGGAAAGTTTCTGGTACAGAGGTGAGTGATCCAAACTGGTTCTTATCACACTGAGAATGTCTTCTTGATGTACTTATGCAAGACTGGCTGCAAAATTACTTGCTGTTCATTGTAACACATTGGGTTTTGTTGGAATATTATTGTGGGTTAACTCTGCCACCTTCTTTTAAGTTGAGCAATGTATTATAGGGTTAACTGAATTATTTGCATGATCATTGTAGGTAAAGGTGATTGAATTAAGCTCTTGTTTAATATAAACTTACTTTAACAGTCACAGAGTTGGTTCTACTCTTGAAGTCCATTATAAAGTCCATTATTATTATTTTCCTTAGAAAGCTTTGCTTTATTTCATACTTACTCTTGCCTTTGAATGAAAAGCAGGCATGGCTACGTGTCTTGGGTTTGTGGAACTCTTTAGGTGTTAGGACATCTGAAATATTAGATACTAATGTTTTAGTGCCTTTTAAGTCCACCATGTCAGTTTGTACCTAAATCACACATTTTCTGAAAGGAGAAGATTGAAAGGGTTTCAGCATTTAATTGGAGCTGCTGTCATTATTAGTGTTTTAGAAATGAGAGCAGATATTCAGATTATGGAAACTGTTATTTAATAAATATATATAATGCATTAGCTCCAGATGCCACAGCATGCCTGATGTCTGGCACTGTGTGAACACATCCTTGCTTTGAAGAGAAAGTAATCCAAATGAGCACATGTAATAGGTCATTTAAGACAGTATGTAAAGTTAATGTTTAGGAGATAAGTAATGTGTTCAACATTATAAACATATAAAACATTTAATGTATAAAACATTTAACATATAAGAGAGTAATGTATTTAACAAACGGGTAACAAATTTTGGCTGATAGCAGATACTCTCCTTTTTATTTTTACAGCTCTTCCTTTGTCTCTTGCGAGCATGCTTGTCACCCAGGGGCTAGTCTCAAAAGGTAACTATAAAAAATACATGATGGTCCTAAGTTCTGAAGTTGAGCCTCTGGAATCCCTACTGAAATCCAAGTTTCCCTGAAGCCTGCTGTTTTTCAGGGTGAATATTCCTCTCGCTCATCACCGCTATTGTTACAGTGATTTGATCCTTATGTATGCACTGCCACAGTAATTCTTTTGAAAGAACATGAACTAAGAAGAGAATTCAGGAACTCATCAACTGGTGGCCAGATTCTGTCACCACAATCACGTGTATTTGAGTACAGTCTTCACTGGATCTGCTTGTAGGGCAGAGTATTGTACAATCTGAGCAGGGGCATCACAATCGGGGACTGTAGCTCTGTCTGTTGGTTTATTTGAAAAATGCTGGCAATGTTTTTACAGTAACCACATATCAATATGAATACAGCTTTGGTGCAAAGGGACAAGGAATACCACCAAAGTGAGGAAACAGAGAGCTTTTTATATGGCTTAAGATCTGCAGGCTAACACAAAAGAGAATTGTATTCTGTTTATGTGGTGAATGAGCCTGGTTCCTTGAGTTTCCCTTCTGGAGGTCTTTAATAATAAGGTTGATGTTAGCATTTTGGGTAAAGAGTGAAGGGCATCCACCCTAAGACCTACTAAGATGGGTTTATCCCACAGGAGCAAATAAGACAGTCCTTCAGCCTAATTCAGCAGCTTTTTACAGCAAGGGCACGTAGGAGAAGAGAAAAATCACAGGGCCTAAAGCAAGAAGCAGAAAAGAATCGAGGGGCTATAAGAGATGGGTGGTGGGACACAGCAAATGAAAGATGTGGAAATGGCTCAGCCTTTTCTCACTGTGTTTGGTTTCAAGCCCCTCATTTTGTTCCAACCACTGTTACTACGTTTCCTCCTCATCACATTCTTTTTTTGTTTTTACTAAGTTGATCAGGAGTACTAGAGTAGAACACCTAAAAGCTGTGCTGTACCACAAGAGGCTGATGTGGGTTCCCTGTTGCGTCCTTGATCTCTGAGCTTGTAGGCAGGATGAGCAATGAGAGGAAGGGCACTAGGGCTGTCTCAGTAGCTAACATGCCAGCCTCTGTCACCGCGTACTCAGTTTCTGTCCATTGTACATGGATGTTTCTGATCAGCTGTGAAATAACAAATGCCCATGTTAAATAATCATTCCTGTGTGTCAACAAGTGGAAGAGGGGGAAGGGCTGTTCAGAAACAAAAAGCAATGTTGTTCCTCCCTCCCCTGAGAGACCCAATTTAAAATTGCATAGATGCCAGTGGGGCCCTTGTGCTTAGCATAGACTGAATGCTCCTCTGTCTAAACACTCCTCTCTTATGACTTCATGCCATACACTGGCTCTAGAAGAAGCCGGAGCTTCTGAGCCTCATTAATCCTGCTTGGATGCATGTAACAGTGCAACCAGTGTTCACTGCCCTTCCCTTTGCCATGGGAATCTTGCTGCGTGGAGCCCTCCTCCACAGCATAGCACTCCTCTCCCAGACACGCCTTCAGAGGCATACTGGTTCCACCTCCTGGTGTTAACTGGGGGAAGGTGGAGTTCGGTGGGAAAAACTAAAGAGAATATTTTCATTTTCTTGTTCAGCACATTGTATTCTCCTCTTAAGGCCCAAAATGTATGATCTCAACTCTCCAGAGAGGGAGGCTAGATACCAGCGGTACAGTTTAACACCAGTTTAATCAGTGGCCACAGAAAACTACTGAAGAACCGTTTGGGCCTGTTTCTCACAGCACAAGGAGCTGGGCTCTGAGTAAGAGATTTCAGTTTGCTGTTATATTTGCAGGGTTGGTTTGTGCTGAAATATAAGCCACCATCTCCTCCTCCTGCAGTGCTGCAGGTGTTATCAGAGGCAGCCACACCACTTTCATGTTGATTTACACTCCGAACCCCTGCCTGAACTGAATCCTGCAAAATCCAGATATTTTTCCTTCTATTTCTTTTCCTAGACTCTAGGACTGCCCCAAAACAGACGCACCAAGAACCAGGGGAATGGGAAGTGCCCTGATGTTCCTAAATCTGAGTTAGTGGATTTTTAAGTTCTGCATACATTCTTCACCTTCAGAAACGCAAAAGCTCATAGGAAAATTACTGTCTTGGTTTTAAGTGCTGGTGAGTTCCTCAAGTGAATAAGCTGTTTTCTTCCACTGTAGGCATTTTCTCAGCAAGCCCAAGATTTGGAGCATTTCCTAAGATGGCAAGTAAGTTGTACCCAATTTTGAAAGTAAATGAAAGGTTCTTTACAGGCAGTATGCAGACCTTAGATGCATCTCTCTGAATTTCTTTTCAAATTCTTCCTTTTTTGGAATTTATGAGATGTTGCCACGATGCTTTAGGAAATCAGAATTCTGCTGTTTTTAAAAATAAATATATGAAACAAGGTTCTTTTAATGTAAACATTTTCAGTAGCAGCTTATATTTACTTAATATAGCCTTTCAAATTGGTGAAAACTCCAATCTCACCTTTGCTTTATAAATAATGTCAGGCTCATTGATCAGCCATGATCAATTGATCACACAGCTCATGGTATCAAGGAGTCATTGTAGTATAATATACAATGTCATAGTTTCATTTGATTGATCTTAACTGTCTAATTCACGACCATAAATTGATAAAGAAAACAAATAAAAACACAGAAACAGTACAATACAGTAAGGTGGCTCTTAAATGGCAAGAAATTAAGTTGATTCCCTTTTCATCAGAAGTCCAACAGAAAAGTGAGGATGTTATTATGTTAGTATTTTTCCTGCTGGGTCTGTAATGAGTAAAAGCCTCAGTGTGATGGTATGGCAAACTGACACGCTTGCTTTTTAGATGCCCAGAGAAGATAGTGTTAAAATTGTGATCATTAGAAATATCCTATGGTGGGCATACAAGGGCAAGATAACTTAGTGCAGACATTGTGAATTAATTTCATTGTGGGCTACCTCTATAATCTGTTCCTCTAAATCTGAAATCTTGTCAGTCCACCTGAATATGATATCCTTTTCCTGTATGCATTGCTATGTCTTATGATAGGTAGCTGGTTTTCCATCATTATTGAAATCATCTCCGTAAGCCCTGTATAACTTCACATGTGTTTGTGAGATGTTTTGATAAGACATGCTGCATACAATTCATCGTATGATTAAAATGGAGCCAATTGAAGACTCTTGATTTAAGCTCTTGTATTAACAACATTTTGTTATCTGTCTTTATAGTTGCTGGTGTCTTAGGTTTTGCCATTGGAAAGATGTCATACATAGGAGAATGCCAAAAAAAGTTCCAGAAAATTGGTATTGTACCATGTGGTCCACAACACAAAAGGTTTGTGCTTATTTAAATTATTAAACCTAGAACAAAATAGTCTAAAACATAGTAAAAATTATATGCAGTAAAACTATGAATTTAAATTCTGTGATCAGATCATGAGGTACTACTCATGTTTTTAGGCTATGTGACAGTATTAGACCCTACTAAATATTCTTCAGAAAATGCAAATTAAACTCATTGTAATTTCTTTTAGGAAATCCATTATTTAAATGAATTTATTGAATAAATGAATAATTTAATAAGTGTGATGGGACAACCGTTACTAGTTCTCTTTTCATCTAGTGTTGTGCCTCTATGATACCACTTTGGCTCTTTGGGTCTTCCTTTGTACCATACATCAGGCCAATTATACTGCAGATTTTTATTTTTTTTTACATTACCCTCATATTTGAACAACAATTTCAATCTCAACCCACATTCCAACCTTCTCCTCTGTGGCTCTGCCCAACCTCATACTGTCATGTCAAACCATGAAGAGCACAAACTGCAAAGGTATTTTTTCCACCTTGCAACTCTCACCGTATGATAGATCTCAATGGTTGCCTTCTGGCACCTCCATGTTTTAGTCACTGTTTTCTAAGCTTCACGTCAAGTGCTCTTTCCTGTCAAATCACACTCTGACTTCCTTCCAAGCTCCTCTGTCAGCTGCCAGTACTCCTTTTCATTCTCAATAGGCCTTCTCATGCGCACCTTTCACACAGAAAATAGATTTCCAAAAATCGTATCCACAAAATCATT